AAGAAAGAAAGAAAGAAAGAAAGAAAGAAAGAAAGAAAGAAAGAAAGGGAGACAGGCGTGTTGGTGCAGTGGTTAGAATCCAGAATTGTAGGCTGACTCTGCCCACTGCCAGGAAGTTCGACCCTGACCGGCTCAAGGTTGACTCGGCCTTCCATCCTTCCAAGGTGGGTCAAATGAGGACCCAGATTGTTGAGGTCAAGAGGCTGACTCTGTAAACTGCTTAGAGAGGGCTGTAAAACACTGTGAAGCGGTATATAAGTCTAAAGGCTATTGTTATTTTGTGACATAGCTCCATACAGACCTTCAAAATTCCAAATGGACTGTAAATACTGCCTGCCTCTGACACGAGGAATGTTTTCTCACAATGGTTCTCTTCCACGATGCTATGAATTGCCCTTCATCCTGTCTGATGAAACATGCACGAAACATATCACATTGTGTGATAATCTTAATTCAGCGGGTTTGGCTGAGCAGCTTATGCCAATATTGTGGTGTCTTTACTGACTTGTTCCTTGCTTGTTGTCACTGTAGCCGACAACCGCACCAGGAAGCGTGTGAGCCACAAGAATGACAAGAAAGATTTCTCCGCCTTCAAAGACAACGACTCGGAGTCCAAAGTGAAGATTTCTCCGCAGCTGCTACTGGCTGCTCACCGCTTTCTCTCCACTGGTAAGAAACTCCTTGGGGGGATTTTGAAAATAGACATTTTTATCCTTTACCGCAGGGGTCCCCAACCTTTCAGACCTCAGGGACCACTAAATTCATAATTTTAAACCTCGCGGCCCACTAATACGATCTGCCTAATGACCCATTGGGTGGGCGTGGCTAGGTGGTCATGTGACTGGGTGGGTGTGACCAACTCATTCACTTCGAGGGGTGCCTCACTGACCTCTACTCAGCGCTCTTCGTCTGCCTGCCCGGACTCCTTAGGGCCCCAACAGGAAGCAGTTGCTGGAGCTAAGCAGCCACCATGAGAAAGCGTTGGCAAAAGAGCTCAGTTCAAATTGGATGTGACCGAGAAGGAGGTCCAGCAGAAGCACCTCACTAGGAGAATAGGCTTTCCAAGCAGAGAGAAGACCTGTGGGAGTGCAAGGCAAAGGATGACCTTGGTTTTTTAGGAAGAATTTTGTTATGGCCACATAGCCTCTAACTTCGTACAATCCCCCTTCCCATTCTCCCACAATAGAAAAGGCATAGCAGAATAATAGAAAGTGTGGCAGGCCAAAAGGTGGCTGCGGGCCTGACAATTAGTGTATCTATTGTCCTGTGGCAAGTTGGCCTCTGCGAGTTGGCTGTAGCGAGGTGTCCTAGACCCCCGCAAAACCCCCGAACCAGCCTCTCTCCAGCCCAGCACATTAAGGATATCCTGACTACAGTGACACCAAGCAGTTGCTTTCTCCACCCCCACCCCCCAAAGGAGCCCCAGGTGGCCGAGTCAATGGGAATTGTAGTCCTGCCACAAAGTTCAGCTAAGGCTACTTCCTTCTCTGATCCCACGATCAGGCAGAGCCACTGCCCGCAATTTGGCCCAGGCAGATTCCAGAGACTAATATGAAACTCACACACCAGGTCGTCCGTCCCCCTCCCTGTCGTCTCACGGGGAAATTACAGGGGTCTACTGACTCCGCAAGGCAAGTCTCCATTATCCTGTCTGCTGTGGCTTTTGGTTTGATTGGGAGTTTCCTTCAAGCTTTGCTTGTTTATTTGTCTTCCACTCTGCATCCCCGTCCCATCCTGGCAATTAAGCACCAGCCAAAAAAAAAATGAAGCTTTTGTCCCAGATGTTGCAAAGTGAGTTGGGGGTAAGTGGGTGGGAGAAAATCATCTTTCTGAGAAAGGGAAAGGAGTTTTTTTTTAATAAAAAAATAGGTTTTATTTACTTGTTTTTAAGTGTGTTATTCTGTTTATTTAGAACAATAAATCGAAAAGCTACAAATCTGGTTCTTTAAGTAACGAAAACAAAGGATCTGTAAAATTATTCTTATTTAAGAAATTTACACAAAGAGCAGCCACATACAAGACCTAGAGAGTCATGGGATGGAGAAAAAAAAAGATAACTAGACAATTAAAAAATAGTTTTTATTGAACATTTTCAAGTTTAAAAACCACAAGTAAAAAAAGAAAAGAGAAGAAGAAAAAAACAGGAAAAATACAAAGACAAATGCAGACGAGATAAAAACACAAACACAAAATTATATCAATGTAATATAATTTTACAGCTTCCCATATCAGCATATGTACTCTGCTTTCGTAGTTTACTATTCGATTATTGCCTTCTCGTAGTTTTTAACAATTCTAATATTGAGGTAATAATTGTATTGTAACAGAATAGTATGAATACATATAATCAGATTTTGCATACACCCATTTTTCTTCATAAGAAAGGGAGATTTTAATTACAGGTAGTTCTCAACTTACAACTGTTCGTTTAGTGACCTTTGAAGTTACAATGTCAATGGGAAAAAAAGGGAATTTTGATGGTTTTTCCCCACTGGCAGCCGTTGTAACATCCCCCTGCCTTCCAGCTTATTTTTTCTCATTTGGTGCTGTGGCCTAGAGGTAGAGCTCTCGCCTCACAATCAGGACGGTGTCAGTTCGATCCTAGGTAGAGGCAGATATTTCACTCCCTGGGTACACCGAGAATATATCTGCTGAACAAAACTCCGCCCTGGCGACAGGAAGAGCAATCGGCCAGTAAACACTCTGCTAGCTTCATTCAGTTTCCCAGACTCCACCCACAAGGGATTATGGGATCGTTAAATGATGATGATGATGATGATGATGATAGCCATTAAAAATAGACCTGAAATCTTTCAATGGTCATTATGTATTATAAAAAAACAAACAAAAAAAAAAAAAGGAAGGGAAGAAGGAGGGAAGGAATTGCCTCTGAATAAAACATCAGGAACTGTTAAGGTACATCCTCAGCTTCTTACACTTTCTTCTGCAGTCTTAACCTCCAAAAATATTAGCACATCTTGTGTTCCCCAAAGCCAAGTCGAGTTGTAACACAGAAAAATGTATTACTCACAACTGTGCACAAGAATCTAGTCAACTAATGGTGGACATTAAATTGGCACTAGAGAAAGGCCAAAGGAATTAAAAAAGGGTTCATTTGTGGCAACGTAGGGATTCTAAGCTAATGACACATTTAACTCCGTCTCCTACAGATAGAGCTTCAATTCCAACAATTGGCCTGAAAATATTGTGAAATCAAAATCCAGAACCCAAAGCAACTAATCAAGGTTCACTGCAGTATTTATTGTTGTTGTGGCCCACCAGCCGCCAATGGAGCTGGCAGCAGAGTTGGACAGTGAGGAGGCTGGGAAGGAACATGGGCCAGTCCTAGGGGCTGAGGAAACCTCAGACGAGGGTTCTGCATTGAAGGGAGAGAGGGAATTAGACAGCAGTGAGGCAGAGGAACAGCTGGAGCCTGTTCCCAGTGTGCACATGCGCGGAGCTGCCAGAATACAAGAACAACTAAAAAAGCAGGGTTGACTTAGGAATAAAGCCACATCTTGGAAGTGATTGGCCCCTTCCATAGGAAACAAAAGAGGAGCGAATGGGGAGGGGACTTTTGCAGGGAACAATTTGTTCCTTCGGTCATTTCAAGAGTGGAAAGTTCTGTGTGTGACTTTAAGAGGCTCTGTGCCAAGTGTTGCCTTGCCCTGCTAGTTATCTGGCAGCTCTCCAAACGAGATAAGGTTCGTGTTGATAAAGATTCCTTGGAAAGACCGTTTGCCAAGCCTTGCTGACTGTGAATTAAAGGAATTCACAGTCGTGTAAATAAAAGGAGTTTTTCCAGGACCAAGACTCTGCTTCATGCTTTTTAAGGAAGCCTGGGTCAGAACAATTGTTAATGGTGCTGCACTGGAGAAACAATAGTGGGCGTAACTCTGTGGGAGTAATTCTGCAAAGAAAAGAATGCGCTCATAATTCACATTTCAGAAAAGAAGAGAAAATGATGCAGTCATATATATGGATATAATAGATGATATAAACATAAATACTCATCTTTAACCAATCTCAAGTTATCGTATTTTTCGGAGTATACGATGCACCGAAGTATAAGACGCACCAAGATTTTGAAGAGATAATTTAAAAAAAACCCTTTTGCTCTCTGCAGACCTCCCAAACCTTCTGCACGTTGAAAATGGGGCATGCAGAGAGTTTGACAGGCCTGCAAAGTGCTCCTGGGAGCTCGGGGGGTTGGGGGGCAAAAACAAGCAAAAGAGGGCCCATTTTTTACTCGTTTTTGCCCTCCCAAGCCCCCAGGAGACTCTGGAAGTTACCTAAAGGCTATGCATGGCCATTTTGATGAAGGGGGCAGTGTTTTGGGAGGCCAAAAATGCTGTATTCAGTGTATAAGACACACCCAGATTTTCACCCTCTTTTTGGGGGGGAAAGGTGCATCTTATGCTCTGAAAAATATGGTACTTCCTCCCTGTCTATGGTTACTATCTTCAGGAAAGAATTACAGGTAAGTTCTCAGCTTACAAGAATTCATTTAGTGACACTGCAAAGTTACAACAGCACTGGGGAAAAAAGTGAGTTAGGACCATTTTTCGCACCTATAAAAAATGGATGTTGAGCCATACCTGTGGTCACATGATCAAAATTCAGATGCTTGGCTGAATTTTTGACTCCTATTTCTGATGGTTGCAGTGTCACGTGATTCCTTTTTGCGAACTACCAAGCAAAGGGGGAAGCCAAATGCATGTAACAGACGTGTTACTACCTTGACACTTGCAAGGATTCACTTAACAATAGCGATGAAAGGTCATAAAATGGGGCAAAACAACGATCTTACTTAGCAACAGAAATGTTGCCGCTCGGTTGGGCTCATATGCTGAGGACTACCTGTATTGATTTAATTTTTAAAAAATACCAGTTACATTGCCTTAGAAATTTGGATCAATCTTAATTGCAAAGCTGTCCCTTCAAGGCTGCCACTTCTCCTGTGCCAATTAGCACACATTTGTTGATGTTTCTGTTTTCGCTCACATCCCACTTCTTTAAGAGTGTGCAATCTAAAGTGTAGACATTAATTTGGCATGAAGCACATCCTAGCACTAAGCTCTTGTGGGAATTCCAGCCGCTCTGTTCCTTGTTTCTTTGTTTCAGATTAGAGCCAAATATTTTCTTCAGGAGCGCAAAGTAATATACCCAGATTACAAATTCACAGAGTTGGAAGGGACCTTGTAGGTCATCTAGTCCAAACCCCGCCTCCCAAGTAGGAGACCCATCACCATTTCTGACCGATGGCAGTCCAGTCTCTTCTTGAAAGCTTCCAGTGATAAAGCTCCCACAACTTCCGAAGGCAATTTCTGTTCCGTTGGTTGATTGTTCTCACTGTCAGAAAATTTCTCCTTATTTCTAGGTTGAATCTCTCCTTGCTCAGTTTCCATCC